TGCCCAGCACTCATCGGGTTGTTGGGATGCAGTAGTGAATAAAATAGGCAAACTTTCTGCCCTCATGGAGCTGACAGTGGAGTGGTGCAGGGTGGAGGAGATAATCAACAAAGAAATATACAGTATGTTGGGTGTGGGGTGGAGGAGATAACCCACAAAGAAATACTCAATATGTTGAGTGATAAGCGCCATGAAGAAAAAAGGCAGTAAAGAGATAAAAAGGACCATGGGTGACATTTGATACAGAATGTCCGGGAAGGCCTCTGGGGGGCTACCATTTATGTGCACGCCTGAAAAAAGCTAAGGAGGGAGGCATACATGTATCTGGAGAAAGAGAACATCCCAAAGAGTACAATAGGAAGGGCTCATTATACACACAAGACTTTTAAATTGCCTCAAATCCCTTCTGGGACCAGGCAAAGTGTCAATCAACAAGGGCCTTACCAAAACCACCTGAGAGGAGGAAGAAAGCAGATGAATGTAAAGGGTTTCATAAAGCAAAGAAGGCTATAGAAATGTGTAAGGTAAGGTTATTTATTAGCCACTGGTTTCCAGGCAGCAAGCAAATATGCATCTATATTTGAAGGCCAATCACGAAGAAAATTGGTGTGGTCTGAGTTAAAAAACTAATTCAAATGCCAAGAGAGTCCTAGGATTTGGCAGAGTCTGTGAATGACTGTCTAACCTGCCCAGAGCTACACGCTAGGTCTGCCGTCTGCATGCTGATGTAGTCTCCCTGTTTGCCATTTCCTGCTGCATTTGATTAGGCGAAAGAGACGTGGCCTGAAGTTCTTTATCTACAAGGAAATCACTGGTTGGCAAATGCCTTAGCTTTCGCCAATTGTTCAACCAAATTCATTAGCATTGGTTAGCTTCATCTCCAGGACTGGTGACATTCTAATTGGGGAGCAAGGAGGGGAATCCTCCAGCTACAAGGACATTCTCGTTCAAAATGTTCTAACCTTCCAGCTTCTCTTACGTTTTGCCTTAAATCTAACTTAGGGGGATAATCGAGAACATACACACACAAATTCAGTCTGAATGTGGCATTTTGGAGGCAAACCCCAGCTGAGTACACAAGAGTATGTTTCAGCTTTGCTAGAAGAGAAATAGTTATGCATTATACATGGACTATAAAGACATTTTTTGTAAGCCTGACTTTTCAGTGTTTGAATTTTAGAACTTAAAATGTTCCATGTGTTTAGTATTTCTTGTTCAGCTACACTAAAGAAAAGTGGTCAAAAATTCGGTCTCCGCATATGTGTGGCATATTTCAGGAATGTTTAATATATTATTATTTCTGGAGCTATGGGGTTTGTGAACACGGTTTTTACATTCATTACTGGTTGTAGCCATGAGGTCGTTTATTCAATACATATTCATTGAGTACCTACTATGTGCCAGGTCCCATTTTAGTATGAAAGATACAAGAACCAAGTCCACACATCAGAGGAAACAGGCCATAAATGAATCTATAAGTAAATATAATGTAATATCAGGTAATGAAGAAATAATTCTTGCTTTAAGCCCAGGATGGGAATGTGGGTGGGGCCGCTATTTTAGAGAAAAAGCCTCTCCCCTGAAGTCTCATTTGAATAAAGACCTTAATGGATCATTTGGTTATCTGGGGAAGAAGTGTCTGAGCAGATGGGAGTGCCCCAGGCACCACTGGACTTCCTGGAAAAGCCTGAAGGCCATGTGGAGTGAATGAGAGGGATGGCTTGTAATCGGAAATGAGGTCTGAGAGAAAACCATATGTCGTAGGGTTCCTGGTGTCTCTGAAGTGAAAGGGCCACCGAGCCCAGTTTCATATTCTGGAGCTTCAGACAATGATAATCAATTACAAGGCGAGCCCGCTACCAAATGGCAATCTCCTCATTAAGTTTCACCTTACTGAATGTAAAAATGGATGTTGGGTGTTTTATCTCCTGGGCCCACTTATCTCTGCATATCTCTTGCCTGAAATGCCTTTCTTGATTCCTCTCCCTATTTAATTTCTCCCCTATTCCAAAGCATAATTTAAGCTCTGCCTCCTGGAAGGATGCTCCTCTTCCTGGGGATGCTGGGGCTGACGGTGAGAGTGGTTCTTCTGGTTCTGCAACTGGAGGCTTTTACTGGGGACTTCCTCACCACCCGTAGACTGGTGTTCAGGGCAGCTAGGAAGTTGAAGGCTTAAGCGTTGGTGGGTAGTTCTCTGGGTGTGTTTCTCTGACAAGGGTATTCCTAAGTCCCATGAGATTTTAAAATGAATCTCTGATTTAAAAAGATTGAGAACCACCACTCTTGCCCAGTACTTCTCAAACATCAGATGTGCACACGAACCATTGACGGTTCATTAAGATGAAGACTGCCATTCAGTAGCCCTGGCATGAGGCTTGGTGCGGCTGGTCCCACGGTCCCACGGCCACACTGGGTGGCAAAAAGCTAGAATAATTCCAGCCAGCACTTGCTTGCATACACTGGCATGTTGCTCTGACCCGTAAGTAGACTGCAGGTTTCTGGACAGCAAGGGGACCACTCATACTTCTTGGCTTTTGTCCCACAGTTGGGACTAATAGAAAAAGACCCACCATCAGGCCGCCTGCCAGATGCCTGCTCTACAGACATGAGTGCATTAACTGAGCCTGATTAGAACATTTCCTCTATGTCCACTTTTTTAGTCTCACTTAGGCTTCTAAGGTTACCCCCAAGTGTTAAAGGCTAAACTTTTCTGTAATTCAGAGCTGAATCCCAGAACCCCTAAACTCTTCCTCAGGCAAATCTTTTCTCTCCCCGTAAATGAAGTAAAAATCCACCAAGCCTAAAAGCCTTCAGAGTTAGTACATGAAATGTACTCATTTGGAAGGGCAATTCACTGTCTCCATGAGGGCGCTCACCCTCACAGAGGATGTTCAGTAGCAAGAAGATGGCCAGTACAGATAATGTGGAACCTCAAAGAGACCAGGATACATCAAATCAGCACCACCAGCCCTAGAAGGGGCAGGTTCGGGATAAACTGTCTTGAGCCCAGAAGTGAAGTCTTACAAAGGGCAGAGATGGAAAGTTTCTAGAAGGTGAGGAATGGTGTAGAAAAGTGAAAATGGGGTTTTGGAATAAAACAGCTACCCCAAACAACCTGCCACTCTATATTTCCACAAGCTATAAAAGTTACTTAATGTGGAAAAAAAAAAGTGTTTTTAATGGCAGCTAACTAGAGCAAATGAAAAAAAAATTTACACGTAAGACATATGTGTAAAGAATGTCTTTGTGTGTGCAAAAGGAATTTTTCATGTGGTATTTAATAAATATATACACATATTATTTGTACTTATAAAAATACCACATGCAATGAAAGCTATGCATAAATATTTATAAAAATCCCTTTATCTAAGTAGGCCAGTAACATTTAATATTTTTCAATAAATCCATACATAAAATATATACATTCGTGCCAAATGGAACATATATTTTGAAATATGAACCCCAAGTAAAACTCTGAGGAATCTGGAATAAAACCCAGGTATCTGCCAAAGGAAACTTTGGAGCCGTTGTCATTTGAAGAAAAGAAACAATGCTGGGTCTCTTATCTTGCTGGACTGTTTTGCTGGTCAGACTTCTAACATCTCTTCAGCTGAGTTTTGTATTTGACTTCCAGCCTGACGGCCATTTGACCTGCCAACTATTATTTTCTTTGAGGGTTTTACCACTCCACCCAAGTCTTCTGCTCTCCAGGGCGGTTGTGTGCGCTTCCTTTTTCCTTTTCACTTCACCTTAACGTCAGCCGTGGCTTACAACCCGGCTTATTGTGCATCCTCTAAGGTTTCAGACTCGGGGGCCGTCGCGATGAGGACCTGAAACTGACGGCGCTCGGAAAGTCAAGGTCCTCTGCAGGGTATCTGCTTTGTGCCAGGATTTCCGTCCAACCCGAGAGTCCCAGGGTCCGGGCCAGGCCCGGAGCGCCAGACTCCCCCCGACTGGGTTCCAGCCGCCTCCCCGGGCCGACCCTGCGGCCTGGGACCTCGCAGCCGGAAAACGCCGCCCTTTCCTGTCGCCTACTCATTAACCCAGGAGGAGGACTCGAGAAGGAAGAGACTGAGACGGATTAAGAAAATTAATTAACCAGGTCCAAGCTGGGCCTTCGGGCGGAGGGGCGGGGCGTGCCGCGGCGGTCGCCGGAATGACCGGCGGGCGCAGGTGCCTCCAAGGGCGGAATTTTAGGCTCCCAGACCGGCAGCTGCGCCACTTGCGACTCGTCGCGCGTCGGGGACAGACGCCACCCGCCGGCCCCAGCTTCAGGCAAGTCTCTGTAGGGACCCCGCGGGAGAGGAAACACCTCCCCCTGGGCTGGAAAAACCTGCAGCGTCGGCTGTTCGCGCGCCCACTCGCTCAGCCCCCAGCCCCAGGCGTCTCCAGTGCGCCAAATCCACTCTCCGGGTTTTGGCAGCAGCTCCAAAGGGAGCGAGCTGGAAACTGACAAAACACGACCTTTCCCCCCGAGCTGGGGCCGCGAGTAGCCGGGGGACCCGGGGCCGGGCAGGGTCGGCGCGGTGAGGTGGCCCCGCTTCCTCGAGAGTCACCCGCCCAAGGCGCCCGAGCCTCGCCGGCCTAGGTCGGCTTGTGGAGACCAGGAGAGGTGGGCGCGATTTTTCGTGCAGGTGTCCAGGGTGCGGGTGGAGTCCCTTTGTCCTCGGGCACCCAGGCGCTAGCACCCCGGTGTCCCTCTTTGAACCGAGCGTCTCCCGCAACCTCTGTGTGCCGAGAGAGCTGAACGCTAACTGCTCGGAGCGAAGCCGCATCCCTAAGGGTGGCGCCAGGGCGGTAACAATGGGTGCCCATTGTACTCCGGGGGCCCGCAGGCGCTGTAGCGGCTGACCCCCGCCCGCTCTGCGGGGCCGGGGCGCAGGTACCGCGGCGGGGTGGGTCTTCGGGGCCGCGCGCGCCCTCGGGCCCGCCCCGGCCCGCCCCCTGCGCCGCCGGCCCCGCCCCGAGCAGCCCCGCCCTTCACAGGTTCAGGCTCTGCGTCCCGTCGCCGCGCGCTCAGTCGGGCTCGCACCTTCCCTGCCGACGGTGGCCGGAGCGGGCTGGGAGCCCAGCGGCGGGGCTGCAGAGCTGGCCGAGCCTGGAGACCCGCGGCCTCGGGCGCCTTCACGCCGACTCGGAGTGGATAGTGCTGTGAGGTGCCGCGCGGGCCGAGCCGGCTGGATCTGCGGGTAACGGGCCGGGACTGCGTGTGCCCTCGGGAGGCGTCCGTGCGGGGCGTCCCGCCCTCGGGCAGCGGCTGGGAGCGTCGGGGTGGCTGGTGAGTTGCTGCCTGCCCAGGGCTCCTTCCTCTTTGCCTGTGAGTCTCTCCGATCCGCGGTCGTGGCCGCTTCCGGCGTGCGCCGGGTACTAGGCTTAGAAACGCTCAGGGAGCGGGGATACCGAGAGCATCGCCTTCCCAGCTGGTGTCCAAAGGACCAAAGGGGACCATAAAGCAAACCGGGAGGGGTTCGGGTGGCATGACCGGGACGCAGAGCTCCACCATTTGTGCCCACCACTTTTCAGGGTGGGGCTGCACGGCTACGCTGCACCCTCTGAGCTATTGACAGCCATTCTGGGCGCGTATTGCATTTTTCCATCTGAGAACAAACCTCACATGGCTACCGCTCCCCTCCCGTCGTGGGTTGGCACCAGGACCGCACCTGGGTGCGCCGTGCACATCTGCCGTGGCAGTGTCCACCGAGTGCCCTCTCCTCTCTTGACAGGGGGCATTGTGGCAGGAGCTCCAACCTGCAGATCTGGCAGTTTATAATTTTTTTTTTTTTTTTTGGACGGTGGTTTCTGAACAGCTGAAGCGTTTTCAAGATTTTTTTTCTTCTTAAAACTGCCTTGACACAGACAAGTATCAGACACGTGAGGACGAATGGATCTGGCCAGTCATTTTTTTGTTATGAATTATTGTACTCCATCCCCCTCTCGACTTCGGGAGGCATGTGTTTCATCTTATAAATAGAAAGTAGCATATTTTTTGGCAGGACCTCCTTTATACTGTACAGTCTAGGAGAGGTCAGTTTAAAAATAAATATGCACTTGAATGTTGAATTACCGAGAGCCAGGCTGTGGCTGGGACAAGCTGCGTGGACAGCAGCATCAAAGCCCGGAGCGCAGCTGTGTTGAAAAGAGTAAAAGCCCCAGAGTGCAGCCCAGGCTGACAGTCAAGTAATTACATTTTGTTTAAAAAAAAAAAAAAAAGTGAGTGAATTAAAATGAGGGCGGGAATAGGAATGTCAGGAGGGTATTGCAACATGAATCTTTCCAGCCCTGGTGTATTTGGGGGAGTCACTGCTTATGCGTCTGGGAAGGGGGAGGGAATGGATGAATGTGTTAGGGAGACAAAGATTTCCTCCCCACCCCCAACTTTTAGGCCTCACAATATTCAAGAGTTTCTTCGGGTGCTGCCTTTTAGAAAGAACAAGAAATTAGGAGTGCAGCAGATGTCCGTATTTGAATAGCAAAGCCAGTCTTGGAGACTTCCCTTCACATCACGGGGAGACAAAAGGCTCCACATGAAGCTGTGATCATGCCGCAGGGGTATCTCGAAGGCGATTTAAAAGACTCCTATAATGTTCTAACTTAGAAAGGATCTTGAATCTAACAACCAAGAAACTGCAGCTTCTCTTTTTTTCTGGACAGTTCTAGAGGTCTTCTCTTCGATACCACCTGTAATTTGTATGTATTGATTGGCAGTTAAGAGTCAGCTAGACCCTATGTGTATGACACAAACCCTTTTCAGAATAGATTTAAATGCTTAGGAGGTAAGTTGGGGCAGTTATGACATGTTCAGCATTGGCACATGTGGAATCAGGGATCACGCATATTTGTATAGTCCAGGAATGGTGGAAAGTTCTTCATTAAGTCCCCCAAAGAATGTCGATTTCCCAATGGGCCTCACTCACTGAACACAACCCTTGAGTACCAGCTTCTGGGCTCGCAGATAAGAACTTCACAGAAATTTGGAAGTGTTTCTGGATCCATGGCAGTTTCTGTTTTCCAGTGGTATCATCTGCAAGAGATTTACATTATGAATTCCATGATTGGAACATGGTGTTGTGGCTATGGCAGCAGCTACAGACATGAAATCAGATGAGCTCCCCCTTCCCTCCAAATCTGAGTGGGGAAATTCTGTTTTCTATCTGAACGTAACACGTAAAGACAGCTAAAAGAATGAGTGTTGCACCTCTTTTTTTTTTTTTTTTTGCTTTTCATTGTAAATGTAAATGTGCAAGAAGAGTAAATACAAAGCCCTAAAAATTATCACAGACGTGCTCACATTGAGCTGGTTTGTCTATCTGCTGTCCAGCTTTCCCTTTAGTGTGGTGTTTTATGTCCAACATGCTCACAAAAGCTGCCCTTTTTTGCTTCTAGAATTCATGGTATTCAACAGCAGTGGGGATAAAGTTGCTTTAACCTGTATCACCCCAAAATTTTTACCAGGCCATAAATTTTTCCCAAGCTCTCTGCCCAGTAGCCATTACATTTATCCAGTGGGTAAAGTACAATTCATAACCTGAAGAGACCCTCCAAAAAGACTGCTCTGATGTTTTCTTTGTAACTATTAAAATTCTTATTTTTGGTCTAATTTCATTTTGGCCTGGCCTAATTCTTTCTAACCAGAAATCCTGTGGACCCGATTATTCACTGATTGAATAAGAACTTCAGTCTATTTTTAAATGCAGTATGTTTGCCAGAGAATAAGGGTAGTCATTTGAAACTAGTAAATTCAGCCAGGTACAAAATCTCCTTTACCAAGGACTGAAGCCCAAGAATTCCGCTAATGCATCACGCTGTTCAGGACTTTGGATGATAAATGTACTTCCTACATGGAGCCTGTCCTGAATGCCAAGCAATCTTCTCAGCCCTTTACCTCGATTTAACTCACTTATTTCTCGCAATCATGCTGTGAAGGAAAAACTGTTACTATCCCCATTTTACAGATGTGGAAGCTGAGAACAGACCTGTTCTATACTTGCCCAAAATTACACTAAAAGGAACAAATCTAAATATGCATATGGAATTTAATTGGCACGCAGGAGTGGCTAATCCTGAATGAATGTCAGCACCTCTTTAGGGTAGGGAGATGGGAAAAAAACCGTAAGGTTAAGAAGCCTCTCTGGAGTCAGGCTGCCCTGGGCTCATAGCCTAACTCTGGCACTTAATACCTGTGTGACTTTGAGCAAATTACTTAGCCTGCATACCTCAGCTTAGCAGTTATAAAATAGGGATAATAATATGAACTCAGAATGAAATGAGTTAAAAAAAAAAAAAAAGTAATGCACTCAGAACAGTGCCCAGTCCTGAGTAAGCACAAGAAAAGGTTGATGCTTTCATTGTTGCTTTTATTTTTTTTCCTAGGTCCTTAATACTGGCTCTCTTGTTTAATATCCATAACTACTCTTTGAGGTAGATAGTATTGTTCTTATTTTCCGGATGAGAACACAGCCTCAGAAAGGTTTAGTAACTTGGCCAAGGTCACACAGCTGAGTAACAGAATCAGGTTTGAATTCAGGTCTAGTTGACCTTGTACTAAATACCACACCCCCACCCCTGGGGGAGGGAGGCTATTAAATCTGACTCTGGTGAGGGTTTTTGGCTTCTGGCAGAGAACTCATTTCATAGTACTCTATATTCAAAGGAAGATGGCAGTAACTGCCAGCCTTGGGGAATACCACGTGAGTGATTTCATTTTTGAAGATAGTTTAGTCTCAGAGGTATGGCAACTGTCTTCTGCAGTGGATCCAGCATCAAACTGCTAGAGTTAACCTGAGCGTTTAGTTTATACCAGCAATGAAGAGATGTGCTACGTGAAAATGTAGGACTTGGAAAAGAAGAGGGGGGGACCAAAAAAAAAGCCCGAAACATCCAGGAACGAGCTCAGGATGAAGTGGAGCTTAGGGTGGACCGCATCCTTGTGTTGAAGTTCTGAGAAGCCAGGGGTTACAGTGTCCCATAACCAGTCTGGATGGTCACCTCCTTCAGGCCAGTGCCCACACCCACAGTGTCTGGCCCTTCAATTCCCTGGCATCCAGTGGACATTTAATACGTGTTTCTTAATGACGCTGCTTCAGGACCAGGAGCCACCAGTAAGCTGGGCAGGAAGGTTCTGTCCTTGGCGGAAGTTGGGCCTCATTAACAGTTCCAAGTTCTACATATGCCCCGGGCCCTGCCAGATAAGTGTCTGGTGTGACAGATAGAGGGAGGGGGCCTGGGAAACCTACCAGAGGTGCCCTGGATAACCCACGGGGGGCTGGCCTGGCCTCCGTGCCTTGGATTTGTGGGATTGTGATTAGCTGGGGGAGGCTGCTCAGACCTGAGGAGGGGTTCTAGAAAGAATGGCTCGAAATAACTCAGGTTGCCTCAAAACCAGGAGCAGTAGTCTTCCAGCTGTCGGCCTCCGTTTGGAATCTGCCCCTCTCCTGCCCTACCCTTCTAAAGGTTACAAAGGAAACAGCACCCCACAAACCAGGATAAATAATATAAGTAGCCAAATAGTTTTACAGCAGTGGTTGGGTATGTTTCTTTCCTTTAAAAAAAAAAAAATGCCTTCCTTGGCCTTGATACATTTCTTCAGTGCCAGGTTCACCAGTATCTCATGATGATGAGCTGAGTTCGCCAGTACCTCTGGTGGAAAAGCCATTTTTAAAGTGAGACCACAGTTTTATAATATGAATCATGATATTGATATTTTATTAAAAGTTCTCTTGTTTCTGAAGAGCCAAGCAAACTAATGAATTTGGAAGCTGGTGAGTTCCAAATTAGTATTTGTTGACTCCTTGTTGCTCGCCCAAGCCATGGATTAATAGAATCCTCGAGTCTCAAATGTGAAATTAAAAGAGCCTGATTTTCAGTGATTTGGGTTTTGTTTGCATGTTTGAAAAAGTCATTACTTACTTTCTAGCCTTCGGTTCTTTGTTAAACCGTGTTGCAGTGATAACACGTCTGCAGTTAGCTAGGACAGCACCACCTCACTGGGATGCTGAGCTCCGAATAGCATCAGGCAGGGACTCTTTGGGAAACTAGCTTGCTTAAGGTCCCTTTCTGCAGGACTTGTCAGAACGTTTAATAGGTCACTGTGTTCAGTGAATCGCCACAGGGAGACAGTGTCCAGGGTCTCAAATCATTAGCCCACAGGGCCGCTGACAGAGCTAGTCTGGCAGGAAACACACGCTGGGAGCCAGTGAGCCAGAGGCAGAAGCCACACACTGCAGTCTGCCCTGCGGAGCTAAAGGAACCCAAGGACTTTATAGAGGACCAGCCACAAGG